ATTTGGCCCTGGTTATTTATCTAGAAGCAATGAGAGGAAATGGGAGCCGAATTGAAAAAGGCAAGCATCACTTTAAAATACCCTGCTGCTGTTTTCATAACAGTTGGCTGTTCTCTCACTGGAAAGGGCAAGGGGCCTCTTTTTATTTCTTTTTTTAAAATTTCATTTTATGATGTTTGATTTACATTCAATCATTGTACATCTCTATAGTGCACAGTCTTATCTCTGTTTTTTCTTTCCTTGCAGCCCTCTAACCCACCATGCACCATCCTCTCTGTACAGCTTTTAAAAATAATTTTTAATTTAATTTTATTATAATTTTTATTTTATTTTATTTATTATTATTTTTAATTTGAACAGAGAGAAAGTGAGAAAGCAAGCTGCTGGGTCCAGGACTAGAACCACAGTTAGCCATATGGGAGTCCAGCACCTTAACCACCATGCCACCTACCAGACCTTACTTTCTAGTATCTACACTTGAACTCCCCACAACTGAGTTGTCAGAAAAGTCATTTGCATTTTTTCTTAGAAAAACAGAAAAAAGGGAACCAGCAGTTAGTGTAATGGCTATGTCGCTGGACTCCCACGTGGTCGACCGCGGTTTGTGTCCCGGACCCAGTGGCTTAAAACTCATGCCGGGCGCGTGTGCGTGCGTGCCCAAGATCCCGAGAGGAGAATGGAGGAGAAGGGATTGCGGCGTGACCATCCCCCCTGGGGGGTGATTTCTCGCTTTCTGTCTCTATGTTTCTCTCTGTCTGTCTGGCGAGCGCACGCGCCCTACTGTGAAAATCTCTCCAAAAAAAAGAAAAACAGAAAAAATACATCATGGCTTTTCCAACAACCCAATATTTTAACTTCAGATCTTTTTGTTTCTGCTGCAGGTTGCAGACATTTGGTAGATATCAAACAGTTTGTCTTTCATAGTCTGGTTTCCTTCTCTTAGTACTAAATCTTCTATGTTCATCTACTTTAAGTTGATGGCAGGGCCTCATTTTTCCATATAGCTGAGCAGTATACCATAACGTGCTATGTGCCACAGTTTTTCTAGGCTTCTTAAGGATATTTACCCAAATATCTTATCCCATATTTCAGTGTCTCACTCCTTTTCTTTTCTTTTCTTTTCTTTTTTTTTTTGGAGAGGTTTTTGCTATAGGGCGCGTGCGCTCACCAGACAGAGACAGAGAGATAGAAAGCGAGAAATCACCCCCCCACGGGGGATGGCCAAGCCGTAATCCCTTCTCCTCCATTTTCCTCTCGGGATCTTGGGCATGCATGCACACGCGCCTGGCATGAGTTTAAGCCACCGGGTCCAGGACTCGAACCGCAGTTGACTATGTGGGAGTCCAGCGATATAGCCATTATGCTAACTGCTGGTCCCTCACTCCTTTTCTGTAAGCATCTTTTTATGGTTTAGATGATGGTTTCTGCCCCCAAAGATTCATGGGTTGGTACCTGGTTATACTGTAAAGGTATTAAGTAAAAATTTAATTCCTTTATCCTTCTTGGTGTCCCCGGGGTAGGGCCTTTGGATGTGATAAGATCATTAGGGCAAGGTCTCTATGATAAAGGTCTGGTTTGTTTATAAGGGAAAAAGGACACCAGAATAGGCAGAAACTTATGGTCGGCTGCTCTGCTCAAGATCCTATCCTCTTCCACATTGTCACCTAACCAGAAGTTGTTCCCTGGACCTCAAAACCATGAGCTGAACAAACCTTGATTTCTTTATAAATTCAACCAAACCCGGTATTTCTGTAAGTAGTGCAACAATGGACTAAGACGGGTCTTGACTTTGAATGGAGGGGACTCGGTAAATCCAGTTTCCTTTATAATTCCACCTCTCCTAAAATCAAATCTTGGGCCTGATTTTCTCCATTGTCATCCTATAGCTCAAATAAATGAAATTTACCTTGGTTGGTGCTTAGAGTCTTCATCTTTCACACCAAATCATAAATTTTTAGCTAATATGAATTTCTATTTTTTTCTCTTTCCTTCAGCATTTCTATGGCAGTTAGCCAACTCCATAATCTCATGTCTTTCAAACAGAAGAGCAATAGCATTTCCTTCCATCTGTATCTATCCACCTGATGAGTTTTTGTAATTGTTGTGCTTAAACTTGCCAGAGGTTAGCACCACCATATTATCCACCAGCAAGGGATCCTTGCTGTCACCTGAATGATGTTATTCAGGATGCTCATACTAAGAATCTTTTTCCTGGGACCATGTGTGTCTTAACTAACTTGGGTTGGGTTCTCCCACAAAAAGACCTTGAGACAATTATTTAGGAAATGAAAGTAGTTTATTTAGGCAATGAACCCAGAAATATCAGTAGAGGAGTGGAGAAGTAAGAGAAGACTGGAAAGAAAACCAGTAAAGGATGAGTAAAATGGGAAGTTACCCCTGTGGGAACCAAGGACTTAATCCCCTAGGGACCTTTGAAAAACTGCAGAGAGCATGCCTCACAGTGATCTTTCCTGAGGAATAAGAAATGAGGTATTTGCCCTCAAATTCCTAGTATCATGGATTGAGGGCCAATCCTGGAGACATTACCTCCCTGGCACTCTGGCCTGCCTGCCTCATGGGGCACATGGACCAGGGACTAGAGAAAGTCCTGAGGGAAATGGTCACAAACACTTAAAAATAGGACCCATGCTCACACTTAAAAATAGGACCCATGCTTGTGCTTGCAGAAAAAAATCTAAAGAATATGGACAGGGCACCCAAAATCATCTGTTACGAAAGGTAAGGAACTCTGTTGAGTGTATTATGAACATCAGTGGAAAATGATGACATTAAAAAATAGCTACTTGCAGCATGTCTGCACCACAACTCTGTGTAAAGAAGGTATCACCATGTGTGTTTTAGTTGCCTCTTTTTTTTTAATTGACAGAGAGTGTTTGTGCCAGAGAGAAAGAGAGCAAGCGAGCAAGTGAGAGAGAGAAAGAGAAAGTACCCCCAAGGGAGCATGGTCACACCACAGTCCATTCTCCTCCATTCTTCTATCCTATTGGGATTTGGAGTATGCCTGAACACACATCTGCCATGTTTTTTCAAATCACTGTGACTGGTATTTGAACCATGGTTGGCCATATGAGATTCAACTGCCTTAATCACTAGGCTACATGGAGAGCCCTCATTATTTCTTTTTATGTTGATTAGTCTATTACTTTTCTTGGTCAGATTATATAAGGAATTATTCCTCAGATTAAAGAAAAAAAAGTATGAAGGTTCTTCAAAAAAGCTCATGAGAGATGTTTATTATGAAAAATAATGTACGGATTTAAAAATTGGGAGTACCAAAATAAACTCGTTCTTTAATGCCATTTTTCCATGAACTTTGTGAAGTCCACTTGTTTACACACAGATGGCCCAAATGTCAGTATGAACAGGAGATGCAGATGGAACAGACTCATCCTTGTTTAAATAGTGTCCAACAACTCCTTTAAGTGCACATTTTTCATCTCCTTTCTAAAATAAGATTTTTAGACCTGGATCTTGCCAACCATGGTTACACTGTCTAAAAAATAGTTCATAATACTAAGAAACTCAAAGCATTTTCAGAAATAGGGAAACAGCATCTTTTCATGTTTTATTATTCACTTGTGAAAATATATATAATATACATTACATGTACAGAATGGTCCCACAGCTTGAGTCAGAGAAAGTTAACAAAAGGCGCATGCAGGGAGCAGGTCTTTTCACACAGTTTTCAGTTAAACCCACATTCAGGGCATGGCAAATGACAACAAAGGCAACAAAAGCGCAGGAAGCCCATGTACGTGACTCCGAAGAGCAAATCAGAGAACTCTTAGGTCTGTAGAGAACGGAGGTCATCTCTGGGAAAAAATACAGTTTTTACTTAACAGGCCTGTCAGACCATCAAGGATGTATTGAAATCCAGACAAAGACATCAGGGACAAGGTGAAAGCCAGTGCTCGACTTGACAGCCCGTTTGCTCTTCTCCCCCTTCTAAGACTCAGGCCTTGGTTGATTTAAAGAAGCAAATAAAAGGGCTGACATTGGCCCTGCAGAATTTTGGCCAGCCATCTGACAGAATTTTGTAGCAGACTAAATATTTTAAAATCTTGTAAACACTGCCGATGGTGGGAAAACATTAAAAGAACGTTTGCTATTTCTCTCTCCTAGGAAGGATATGGTGGGCATAGGTCTTTGGCTTGCCACATGTGTTTCCCTATCCTGACATTTATCCGAAATGATAAAAACGAGGCACAATTCATGGAATGATAGGATTACTCCTATCACACACCAGCAAAGGAGCCTCCTAGGATTTGGCACAGCTGGAACAGCTGACAACCTTGGGTGATGCGAGATGAGGTTTCACGACATCTGGCTCTATAGATTCCATTAGGTCACACTCGTTCGCAAGTATGTGTTTCACCAGGCATCTGGAGGCTTCATCAATGTTTATATTTTCCTAAGAGAAAAAAAAAAGATGGAACAAGTTTTCTTATTATCCAAAATAATGCTGGAGCAGAGACCTGTTCATGACTGGAGGGGGGTATTTTGGGCAGTTCCTTTAAATAGCCCTTCTTATATACTGACTGTCCACTCTCTATTTCTCTCACTCTCTTTTATTACTTCAAATAACTCTCTCTTTTTTTTTTTCATCCCTCGTAATAGTGAAAATACTTATTTTGCTTTCTAATAAAGGAGGAATCATGTTTGGTAGATTCACTGAGTATGTTGTTGAAGAAAGCAACAAACCTTACCCTATATCATAACTGAGATGTTATATATGTTTCGAGATGAGAAAACTCGAGATGAGAGAGGCTAAAAGACTTCCCATGATCACATAGCAAGTGGGTTGGAGGGCCAGAACTCATACCTGAGCCTTTCTGACATCAAAACATGGCTCTTACTAAAATGTATTTCTTTTCAAGATTGTTTTGAAGATTCAGTGCAATAATACATAAAAGTTCTCTCTACTGAGTGTTAGACTTGGGTGGTTAATAAATCTTAGTTCCTTTATCATTCCTATATTATAATAAAAACCCTATATTTTATATGACAAGAAAAAAAGTTTTAAACATCAAAAGGGGCCTTCTGTCACATACAGTGTAAGTTAGATTTGCCAGTAGTATTTGTTAAACCCCTACTTGGGATCAGCTGTTGACATGATGGCTATGTTGCTGGACTCCCAAGTATTCGACCACAATTCAAATCCCAGAACCAGTGGCTTAAACTCATGCTGAGTGTGTGTACGTGTGTGCCCAATATCCTGAGAGGAGAATGGAGGAGAAGGGATTGCAGCATGGCCATCCCCCCTGGGAACATGATTTCTCACTTTCTGTCTCTCTGCCTCTCTCTGTCTTTCTGGTGACCGCATGTGCCCTGTAGCAAAACCTCTCCAAAAAACCCCACTCATATTAAGATGCGATCTTCTTTCCTTAGTGTGAAAAAAAAAACAAAAACAAAAAAAACTAATGAGAGTTAAATACTAGTGTGAGCAAATCAATGACAACCTATCATCATTATGAGAAAAACAACTAAAACCTAAGCCCAATTAGTGGTAGTCTCGCAAGGTTATCTTAATACCATAAAAGCTAGTATGATAATTTGGAAAGAGATTATTTGGAAAGTTTACTGCACAATAAAGGCTCACTGATATCAGGACTAGGACATGAGACCATGGCGACTAGGGCTGTAAACAAAGTAAACAGGCCAAGCTGAGGCAAGGCAGTGTCTGTGTACATTACATATACTGACAAGGTAGCAGTTCCTGGTGACTGGGCCACATCCATTCAGTTAACATTTAGATTACCACTAATTACTAGACATACAAAGATAAAGATGATAAAATAAGTCCCATTCCTGACTGATATTATATACTAGCAAAGTATGCAAACAGTAAAGGCATAAAAAGTGTGGAAAGGGTAGCAGGTGGCCAGATCACCATAGAGCCTTGAATACTAAGTTGGCCAAGTAGAGCCACTGAGAGTTTTCTGCAGGTAAATATTAATATGCACAATCTTATTCAGATTGCATTACTATATAGGACTTCATAAACCACAGCACTCTTTTTTTTCTAGAATTATTTTATTTAACTTTATTTTATTTATTTTAATTTGACCAGAGACAGTCAGAGTAAGAGATAGAGAGAGAGGGAAAGTGAGAAAGCAAGTTGCCAGATCCAGGACTCGAACCACAATTGGCCATATGGGAGTCCAGCGCCCTTTACAACCACACCACCTGCCGGCCCCAAACCTTAGCACTCTGTGTTAACAGTTAATTTATCTGTTCAATGCTGCTTGCTATTGGCACACCATTTTCAGGAGGCCAGAACTCATATCTGTTTTTTTCTGTCATTGAAATCTGTCTTTTTTTTTTTGGAGAGAGAGAGAGATTTTTGCTATAGGGCGTGTGCGCTTGCCAGAGAAACATGAAGATAGAAAGCGAGACATCACTTCCCGGGATGGCCATGCCACATCTCTTTTCCTCCATTCTTCTCTCAAGATTTTGGGCATGCATGCACACACGCCCAGTGTGAGGTTTAAGCTGCAGGTTTGGGACTCACATTGCTGTCACCTACATGGGAGTCCAGCCATCTGCTAGTCCCTAAAATCTGTCTCTTATATATAATGTTATTTATGTATTCTCCTCATATAATTATTTAATTATCAAAAGAATACAATGCGTCCAATCAATCTATTCCTTCATCCTGCAGCTGAGGAAACAGAGATAGATAAAGGGTCAGTGGCTGGTCCCAAACCACACGTTACTGAGCAGCGGGGCCTGGTGTGAGCTCAGGGAGAAAAGTAAACATGAGTATCTATCTATGAATAGGCAAGATGTATAATGTTTAAACTACAAGCTTGCAGCCAGACCCTTATCTTGGTTCTGCCAAATATTTCCCCCAAATACAAAAAGAACATGGTGGGCAGGGCACTAGGTTCCAGCATAAAGAGTAGGAGCATGCAATTAGGACTTCAGGCAAGGCCGTGTGGTATTGCCATCACACTTCCAAACACGTCTGTCTTTCTGAGTATCTATACACCACTGACATCACAGGCAAAGGGCCAACAATACAGACCCATCCCCTCCCTCCTGCTCTGTCCCAAGACCAGCATGGATAATCAAACTCTGCTTCAGAGAACTGCAGGTTCAGACCTTTGGGCAATTAAATTGCTACGTAACTGATCAAACTACTAGGCATTCAAGTAGACACAACCAAGGCCACATTTTCTGGGTGATGGTGGAGAAACCTAGCTGGGGATGCAAGTGTAAACTACTACCTAGGAATTTACATTTGTAGTTATTTTAGAGAGTATTGACAACGTTCCCTGGAGCAGCATTGCCAGAAAGGAAATTTACGTAGTTTATAATGTCCAAGTCAGACACACCTGGACTGGGTCTGATGGATTTATGTACAGTCTGCAATGCGGCAAGACGGCCTGTTGTGCTCACTGCTTTAGGTTGATGCATGCTCACCTTTGTGCTTCTGCTCAGAATTGTTTATATCGATAGGCAGCCGCCTGAAATAGGCTTAACCTTCCTACCAAAGCATCTTCATAAAAACAAATGGTAGTAACAGAATTGAGCAGGTGCTGTATTTATGAAATAATGTGAACATTCAATCCTTTTAAAATTCTATTTGAGAGCTAATAGCTGTTCTTTGAAAGTAAGGAAGCTAGAGGCAGCAAGGTTAGGGGACTTACCCAGGGCAGGGCATTATCTTGGGCAACGTGTCATTTCAATGAAGACTAGCCTAACTCGAGTTCCCATCCTGCTCCCTATTTGTCATATTATAGCATCTCCCAGAATGAAAACAGATATTAAAATAGTTGTATTTCTAAATGAATAATTCTCAATTCTGGCTGTGTAGTCATATCACTTGAAAGGTTTTTTTAAAGTATATGTTTTCGGGGCCCTCCTCTCACGCATTGATTTAATAGGTCCAGCATGGGACCCTAGCATGTCTTATTTTTAGAGATTCTTGACTTATTTAACACGTGCGGCCAGTTCTGAAACAGACTCACATAATGAAGAATGTCTTTAAAGACATTGTTCTTTTTATTTCAATTGTGGACTTTCTGAAAATATAATTTCATACAGTGATTCTAAGCTGTGGTGATTGTGATCTTTCAATAGAGGAAGACCTTTAAATCTACCATCTGAGATCAGTTATTTAATTAGCTTTTCAGAACATCTGTCTGATGGCAAATTATTTAATCTCTGACCCATAGTACCAGAGTGGGGCAGAAAAACCCTAGCAGAAAACCTTCACATCTACCTAGTTAGAAGCTGGTAAAGAATTCATCCTCCCATAATCTTTCCAAATACATCAACCTCAAACAAAACACCAAGTGTACCCAAGTCTCCAAGGTTGGGGCACTAAATTCCTCAGCCCTGTGACATTTTAATTAGAGCTGAGGGCTTTCTGGATAATAACACCACTGTAAGAAGTCTTACACAGAGCAGGGCTTAGAAATCCTTTCTCTGGGAAGATTCAGCACTTGCAAGTTGAGTACACAGGTTCCAAACATATTGCTGGCAGTCTGCTTATCCTTCATTAAGACCTAACAGGGGTGCTGGAGTGGAGGACACCTATATTTTTGTCTGCTAAGTACCTCTATCCTTCTCCTTCCCTGTCATTACCATTCCCATGTCCTTTGTGTAACTGCTTCCTCCTACAGCAGTCCTGAGCTACTACTGGAGTGCGCCAGACTGAATCCTATGTCTCAGATCACGTTCTCAGGATGTGATATTTCACTTCATCTTCCCAGTAATTGCTCTCTTCTTACAGATGAGGAAAGTAAAGCTCTGAGAAGCTAAATGGCATACTCAAAGTCTTAGGATAGTAAGGGTCAGAACCTGGCCTCAAACTCCTTTCTGCAAGGTGTTTATATTTTCTCTCTTTTGAAAGAACTTCATTTACTCATTTGTTGCATGAGATATTGGTTTCCCTGTGTTTCTACACATTTCTGCATAGAAAATCATAGAAAATATATCATGACTTTCCCGACAGCCTAATAGATGGAGAGAGAGAGAGGCACCCCCCAATGATATCTTCATCCCGTAATTTATCCCTAGCCACAGCCAATCCAGATCATAGCCGTGCATGCACCCAGTGTGTACAGGGAGGTCTTGGGGTGTGAGCTCAGAGCCTTCCTGTATAAACCCAGCATCACAGAGTATTGTGTTACCACTGTGCACTCAGCCGGCTCTGATTTTTTTCTCTTCCTTGCTGTCTTAGAGTCCACAGTCAGCATTTTGTGAGTGCCAGAATCCAAAGCCCACGGTTGTGTACTTCGCTCTTCCTTTTTGCCTAAGTGGACAGTGCGATGCAGAAATGCTAGATTTTAATGATGCTCTAATGTTTGCAAGTTATGAAGACATGTAGTCATTGATTTTGACATTGAACAGAGTCACATCATAAGCCTGGAGATATGGGATATAGAGGAGGAAATTTCATTA